TTTATCTCCTGTAAAAACTTCACCTCTCTTTAACTTTCTACTATTTACAAACGAATAGTTTTTACTTAGGGTATAAATATCTTTTGTATTTTTTTTTTCACTAAGCTAGGCAGATAATCTGTTGAGACTCGAGAACGTTAACCATAGCTTCTAGTTCATTAACGTTCTTTTCTATGGACTTCACATGACATAACACAACCGATAAGTTAGATGAGGTGTATGAAGATGAAATACATCACTGTGTAAAATTTATAATTTTTAGACTTAGCTCCTGTTTCTTGTGACTTGCTTGCAGATTTAATTTCAGTGTTTAGAAAAACAGCTGTCTGCGCCAACGAACGATTACTGTAGGGTTGACTTTCCCGGCTCTTCTAGTAAATCTTGCAATCATTGTTTGCAGTTGGTTTTTTGTTGTGAGTAACCAATGGGCTATAGATATATCAAACTCTGAGTCTTTGCCTTCTATCTCACTGCCATACTTCATTGCGTTGTCTTCCGTTTTGATCGACATCTGATATTCAGAAATACCAACAATCCGTAGGCTATCTCTACGATTACATCTCTCAATCAGTTAAGCTTCTGAGAACGTCTTGATCTCGCACTGTCTCGCCTGGAAGGACATGGTAGTTTTTGCTTTACTGAGTATATGCTCCTTCACTTTCACTATTTCTCTTGAAACCACTTCTTGAATATTTGTTAATCGTTCCTTGAACTCATTGAAAATTGCTACCACCTGACCATTGATAGCTTTGAATAGTTTTTTCGATAGTTTCTTTCAGCGAATCACTGTTCTCGAGACTTGGGCTCAGATCAGCATTGGTGTGTTTGGGCTTTTTGTATTTAAGCGGCAGGCTGTCTGATCCATGAATCTTAATTGCGGATAATAGCTCTGATAGTCATTCGCGTTTTCGTGTTTTCGTTAGCAATATTTGCGGTGTCTTAAGTAATGCTTGCGTTTTCTTCTATGATGTGAGTTATTTAACTTTCCATTTTCTGCATCTGAATCTATTTGATACGTTGATCACAAAAATTAGGCTATTTGCACTATGATTGACGATTTCTATCAAAACACTGTTGCGAGCCCGCTGTCCAGAAATTATCGACATGTGTTATGTGTACAAATACAGACTTGAGGCTATATAAAAAGGGCGAGATCGGTGCTGGAGCGTTTTCCTCCGTGAGTTTTTTTTACCAATAAAGTAAGTCGTCAGGAAGTCCATAGATGCAGTTTTTAAGCTCTGTTTTCCGTTGAACTTTTTGTTGGAATGACAAATACATCTCATCGGAAGGACAAAACCTGCATGAAAGCTGTTTTGGTGTCTATTGCTCTACAAAAAGTCCAATATTCCTTGGACGATAAAACAGCGAGTAAGATTCTAAAAATTTCATTAGAACAGGTGGATGTATCCTTCTCTAAATCATGTCCATCGACATCTTGGTACCCTTTTGCAACAAGTCAGGCTTTTTTCCTGCCATCGTCCGTCTCTGACTGATTTCACCTAGTGAGTACGCACAATTTGTTGTCCATTGTTTCGCATTTCGCCAAAAACGCAATTGGCTCTCCATGATTGTATTTGCCAGCGCAATCCGTGCTTTGCCAGTTGTTTCGCATTTCGTCAAAAACGCAATTGGCTCTCCATGATTGTATTTGCCAGCGCAATCCGTGCTTGGCTCTCCGTGCTTTGCCAGCGCAATTTCTTTTTGTCCCCTCAACTGGTTCACCGAGAGTGCTATTGTTGATACGTACCACAGAACGAAGACGTGTAACATGTTTTGATGAATAAGATACGCCATTCTCAGTTGATGCTGTCGAATAACCATTCGAGCCACAATCTTCATCAGCAGCTTTTTGTTCATCAGCTAGTGGGGAAGAATCGCCATACGGAGTATCGTCATCATCGATCGTACCTTGCGATTGAAATTTCATTGGCTGACTGCTCTGGGAAACAATACTCTTGGGATCATCTTTTAATGTTGGAGATGTGTCACTAGCGCTGTCGATTCTTGACCAGTTTTGTAGGTCGGTCAATGCCAACTATGCGACCAGTACCGCGCCATGCAGAAGGTTGATGCTGGAAGTAAACCTGGTCTCCGTGCGATAGTTTGAGGTGACAGGTACGAGTATTACACATCAGAGCTCGTCTGACGCGCTCGCTAGGTTGAACTTTTATGTCGCTTTCACCGCATCGCTTCAATGCCGTAAGCTGATGAAAAATGACATCAGGATCCTTTTCTAATGTTAATGCTGGCATTTGATGAGGGTATAAATTAGGTTTGTTTGGTACCAAATGCAAAATACCATGTTTTATTGAGTGCGTTGTCCACAGATTTATCCGCCTATTTACCTTGAAGAGGCAATGTTTGACTAAATTGTGTGTATGAATCAATATAATGCACTTAATTACGATCCCTGTCGATTGCGAAACTAGTGTAAATCGATGGAGATAATCTCATTGAAAGTGGAAAACAAAGGAAGCCCTACAACCGGGTGTGACTTCTTGCGGCAGGATCGAATACAAGTAGAACTACCGTTAATCACGTGAGATGCTTCTGATTCGAGGTTTTTGTTGTGCACTGCATCCTGCCCTGCAATAAAGATGTGAGTAGTTTTGTCGTCGAGTTCAGAGGTTGATACAAGCACAGAGCTTAATTTACTAGTTTCCAGGGGCAATAACTTCATTATATGTACAGAACTACAATTTGCGGTAGTTACGGTCTCATCTGTTTTGGAAACATTCTCTGCTTTCAAAATTAATTGAAAACCAGCTCTTGTCATACTTTTATTGCTAAGCAGTAGTGGTAAATCCAGATCAACAATTTCTACGAGCAAAGTTCACTTACAACAGTCTAACTGTACCGGCATTGTGACGCTAAATAAGGCTTTAACGGTCGTTCCGCCTCCAAAGACAACTGGCGTTTGTCTTCATTGAGGCTGGCGATGTAGTATTCACAGCAGGATAATCCAGAATCTGTCTTGGTATACAGCCAGTTTCCATGATGCCAGAGCCATTGGATTTTTGTACAAGAGAAAGCGACAAACTGTCAACGTCAGATAAAATGATTCATTGTCATCTAAATAATCTGGCTCTTTTGATTGCTTTGACGATGTTTGTTCCTCGCGATCTGGAAAAACGTAGCCCAGTGATTTTTGTCATCATTGGATCTGGTTTTCTGGAGCGATGTTTTGGTATTTGGTCTCCTGAATGGCAGCTGACGTTTCTGCTTGCTGTAACTGGCATATAGCTCTTGTTCATCGCCAACAAATGCAGTTTCTTCTTTGACAATTTCAATAGTCCTAGGTTCTTGCTCAGTGAAAGAAGTCTCACAGTCTGTTTCATCTGGTTGAACTCAAATTTATCGGTTGCCGTAAAAAACATTTGTCGCTCCTTGCTTGTCAAGGAAGCTCCATAACGCCATTTGAATGCCAAAATATTATCTGGAAGAATCATTTTGTGTCCTTTCAATTTGAAATAAAAATGATTGAATTTTATAGTAAACTCATTTTCTCTCTTCTCAGTTTTTCGCCGGTATCCTTCGAAATTTGAGTATTCTAGGAAAGATTTTTCAGTACTTGCTATCAAATGTCTTCAGTTTCTTGTGGCCCGCGAGGGCCCGTGCTAATGCAAGCCCCATTTTCCCCGCTGGCATATCTGTAACCACTTCCACGCTTGAACTTCAGTTTTCCAGTGATCAAACGTTTTCCCTTCCGTTCACGATGGAGGAATTTAAGAGGAAGACTTTTTCAAGTAGATCGTTCTCCTGCCACCATATAAATTGTCTTGATTAAAACAGTTAAATATGATAAGATATTAAGCCTGACTCTGAAGTAAAGAACACAATTGAGTTATACAAATTAACACATTTGTTCAAATAAACTTCTTGAAAAAATGTTGATTTCTTTTTCGGATTTGTGGTTTTTGGCCTAGTTTCCGTCGGCTCATTTTCTGTGCTTTTTTTTCAATTCATATTTATTTTATTTAGTATTGTTTTCCATCTCCTTACTTTGTAAAGCATGGATTTTTTTTTTTAAATTTTTTTTACTTGCGAGAACGAGTGTCTTGAAGTCGCGAAGTAGACTTTTCCGTAATTAGCTTTTCTGACTTATTCTTTATTCACTTCCTATATATTTTTTTTATTATCTGAACATCTTCCAGGCGCCTTGGCCTAGAGGTAACGAGGTTGCTTCTCTACCCTAGGGTTGGGGTTCGGTCCTGTTTGGATTTGTTTTTTTTTTTCAATATCAATAAAATTGAAAAAAAAATTGTCCCAGAAAAATTTAATCGTCTGCTGAATTTCGTTTGTCTGCTCACATCAAACGGCTAAGTTGCCACTTCACTGATTTTTATTATGCTGTAGGCAAATTTCATTGTAGTTGCAAGTGCAAGTGTTGTCCATTGTAAATTCATGGAAGACTTAAAAGTTTTCAAATCTTTTTTTCTCAAGTTCATGATTTTTCGGATCACCTAGTGTCTGCTCGAAGATTGTCGGCTTAGTTGCCCCATCACTGTTTTTTTGTACTGTAAGCAACTTTCATTGTAGTTGCAAGTGCAAGTATTGATCCTTGTAGTTGTTGGAAAGACTTGAAACCTTAAAAAAATTATAAAATCAAATTCTTTTTCGGATAAACTTGTCTGCTCAAAGATTGTCGGCTTTGTTTCCTCTTCGTAAGTTTTGTTCCGTTGCTACTTATTAGTCAAATGCCTGACAACTTTGCCTACAATGAAGTTCTATCGAGACGACTGACAAGTTGAATATTTATTGACCTATCGTTTCTAGTCTTATATCAACGTCTTCAATTTATCGTTTTTTCGTGTTTTTTTAAACGTTTTTGTTGTATCGCAAGTGGTGCGAAGCTCCGCTTTGCCTCTGTGTCTGATAATTTGACTGGTCGGTTTGATTTCCCTTATTCGTCGGTTTGCCGGCAATTCTTGTTTGTGTCCTTTACGTTGCACATACAACTGAATGAAATTAGCTATAAAGTGATTGATAAATTCAGATAGGGTAATGGATTCGCTATGGCATCAAATGGACAGTCTAAAAGCGTCACAGTTGCGGGCTGTTTCCGCATCAAATTCCTCTTCACAGTCAGACCCCAGCAGAAAACGAAACAGACCCGACCAGTTGACGGCAGAATCGAAACTGAAGATGAAAAAGGCAAAAGCGAAACAAGAAAATGTAATCAGACAAATGTCTGCATCAGTTAACGCGTCACATGCCTCCGAATTAACGAAGAAATCATCAGGTGAGCTACCGAGAAACAGCAATGCAAATTTCAAAGCCCTCGGCACTATTGTTGATCTAATGAAAGACAGACACAAAGAGAACCTTAATTTTCCACTCACGTTTGCCGAAATCCAGGATGCTCTGCACGAAAAATTCGGAAGAAGTTCTTTTTACATTTCGCCGAAAGAGATGGCATGGTTAAAAGACGAAGCCTTGCCAAACAACCCAAAAATACATATGGATGAAGAAAAGAGGTTCACATATAAGCCGCCCTATTCCATCAATAACAAAAAGCAGTTGCTAAGGTTGCTGAAGAATTATGATTTACACGGGGAAGGAGGACTGTTAGTTGAAGATATCGAAGAGTCTTTGCCACGAGAAAAAGTGAGAATATGTGCAAAATTGAAATTGTAGCAAAAAATAGTTACTACCACCAACGAACTATTAGTAATCACGAATCACAACTAGGATAGCCGGTTACTGTGCAAGTAGCACAGAACGTTTTTTTCTTCGTGGTGTCATGAAATGATCCGAACAAAAAAAGAGAACTTAGGCATTTTTGACAACCATAGTAAATTAGGCCAATAAAAAGCAGTTTTTGAAAAATGATTTTAAAAAAAAAATTCCAAAAATTTTTCAAAGTAAAACTTTTTTGATTCCCAAGTTGGCGCTTAAAACTCCATAAACTATTTTTTACTCTTGTAAAACTAGGTCTTCACGGCTTAAATCAAACACAAATAAGCTATTGTAAGCCTGTACGCTCACCTATCAGCTTGAAATTAGACCAAAAAATCAAAAATTTCAAACTGGTTTTTCTCGCTCGCTCGACACTGAAAAATTGTTTCAAAATTCTTTAATTTTGTTCGAATCACGCCTGAAACGGCTTTAATATGATAGATCACGTAACCCATTTCGTTGATAGTTTGAGGTTCTTGGTTCTGCGTGGAACACAAAAAAACTAAAACATCCGAATACAAAGTTGCTTCGCATTTTCAAATGGTCAAAACAGTAAATGTTTTCACAAAACTTGAAATTACCAACCCTGTTTTCAGGTGCTATCGAGGTACTTTCAGGGTTGGCAAATATTGCCTCTAAAGATGACCGATCAAATGCTTTTGGTTTTCGAATCATCGTAGGTTCGGAGATACGCCGTTTTTATACTTTTTCAAAAATTTTCAAAAAATTAAGATGTAAAAAAAACTTCACAAAGTTTGAAGTACTCAAGGTTATAACGGTGTGCTCTCAAGGTACTTTCAGGAAGTTTATCAAATTTTTAATTTCAACTGCTCAGTGCCTTTTACTTTCTTAGATATGATGTTTTTGTCTTCTTTTTTAAAAAAACCCTCAAAATTGTTAAATTTCCAAAAAAAATTATTTTCAAAGTTTGATAATATCGACCCTTTGTTGGGGTGATGTCAGCCTACTACTAGCGAATGCTGATGTGATCTCCCTTCCTTATATCATTGCTCAAATTTTCATTCTTACCAGTTTGGTTTTGTGATATTTCCAAATTTTTTCATTTATCTTGCAATTAAATTAAGGAAAAAAAGTCAAATTAAATTACAAAGATATTTTGAAATTAATTATTCTGTATTATGAATCCCTTTTATAAGTTTGTTGATGTTGCAAATGAAAACGTATTGTTTAGCCGGACATCTTAGGTTTCTTCGTTTATGAGTTTAAAATACGAAGATCTTAAACGCAGTAGTTTAGATACTTGACTATTTTAGTTTTAAAAAGCTTTAAGTTGAAATCATTTTTATCTTTCAAATTTTGATATCAAAAGCTTTGTTGGATTCCCCGTCTATTGTTGTTTTTGCATTCGTTTTTTGTTTTTCATATATTTTTTTATCAGCACTTTTCATTAATCTGTTTGAAGCACCGGAGATGCGTTACACGCAAGTTATACTTCAAAATGATACGAATGATTTCATAGATGCTTGCCAGAAAAGTGAGTTTTAAGACTGTGCTTAAAAACTTATATTGACTGCAGGCATGTTTAGGAAAAAGCTATGCTCACAAGCAGGGATGGATCGAAGATTTTCGCGAGAGGAATAATTTCACAAACTCTGCCGAAAGGAAGTAGTCGCAGGCATTTTTTCGAAAAATGTGCCGAAAGTGATTTTTTAGGCTGTGATGAAAATTTTCCGTTTATTGAGGCGCACGCACCCACAATGTTAGTATAGATTTGCACCGTTAAAAAATCTTGATACGACCATTCGTCGCAGAGCAATTTTCCTTATTAAGTTTGTAACCAATTTGAAATGAATGCACAACAACCAAACGGCCATGCCTTAGCGGGTGAAGGACTCGATATGGAATGATTCACGGAACTATGGCAAGGAATCCTGATCAAATTGCCCTGCGATCAATTGTCGCTTTTTATAATAGCGTCGAATTGTCGCTATGCCAAAAAACTAATAGTGGTCGATTTAAAATGGATAGGAAAGGGGGACTCCCTTGGGTAATGAGGGGGTCGAATTCAGATCCCATCCCTTCCCGGAATTAGTCTTTGTAATTTTTGAAATTGCCATGTTTACTAAATTTCATGAACGCGTTATACTTTTTGTTAACGCTTTTATAATAGCAAGCGAGCATGTTGGAATTAAAACGGTAAACTTCTGAAGTGAGAGATGGTGAATTTTTATTTAGGCTAAAAACACAGTAGCCCAAGTAAAAGACATGGTCATCACAATTACACGCAGTGACAAAAAGCAAGTGCTGTTCCTGAACGACAGATCACTTGACATAGAAGTGGACGAAGACATCCAGAAACTGTGGAACTCAGTTCAAGTTGCTGGAATGGACCACGGAAAGATCGAAGAGTACCTACAGAAACACGAAATACAATCAATGCAGGATACAGGCGGAGGGAATAAGAACTCGAAACACTTGAAGAAAAAGTCAGCTCCTAAGAAGAAACGGTATTGGGCACAGAAGGTGCATAATACCCATATGGGCGATGTGCTTCAAGATTATTCGGACAGGGCGGGTCCGGGTGCTCAGAAGTTCGAGAAGTAGCTTTCTGTTTACATATCGGGTAGCCAGTCTGTTTATTCTTTCTTTTGTTAAAGTTAAAGTTGGAATTTACACATGCTCAAAGAGGTTGGCTATCTGCTCTGGGTGCAAAATAAAAACTGATCGTTAATCTTTATTTATTGTCTTAGTTGTTTCTACTAGTTATGGAAGTATTTCTGAAAGAATTTTTTTTCTTATGAACTTCCTCTATTTCATGTCCATGATGAGTTTTGAAAACAACCTTATTCTTTTGAATGATTTCAGATCATTATGTATAATTGATGAGTAAAATTGGTGACTGAGAGGGGTAAATCAATATGGAAATGGAGGTGAGGTCCCTAATTGTAGTTGACCGACTATGTGTTGTTCTCTATGTTTCCCCGTTGGTTTAAAAATAAAGTTTATCTAACATAGACTTTAATTACAGTTGTGAAATTTGGCATTAAGCAAATAAGCCATCCTAGCCAGCATATTTCTTCCTTTTTTAAAATTTGCATAGATCAAGCCTTTTTGACAGAGAAGCAGAGCCACGCAATTCTCGTAGAAATGAAGCTAGTTCGCAATGAAATGTGATAAAAGAAAACACCCCAGATACGTGCGTCTTGTTTTTCGTGAGCCAATTTTGGATAATTTGATGGCTATCGAATCAATCATACCAACGTAGGCTTCTTATATTAAGATTATAAGCTTCCAAAATTTCAGCAATTAGCCTACGAAAAAGCGAGCCTGGCTCGTTTACTTGTTGGAAACTATTCCTAGTGTTGTTATATCCTAATATATCCTGATATTTGTTATGTGTTTGCTTGTAGTCGTTGTCAGAGGTGTTCCGCTGCTTTATCTGCATGGAGAAGCTGTACGACGCCAGACTGTGCCCTCACTGCTCCAAACTCTGCTGCTACCTCTGCATCAGGGTTAGTATCTTATTCGCAACTTAAATTACTTCCTATCCCCATTTGCCGATCACAATTACCCCAATTGCTAACCCAGTGGTTCAATATCTGTCTTTACGGGGGGTTAGGAAATAAGACGATAAGCAAATTTTCGTCTAATTTCCTAGGCCCCGTCTTTACGTATTTATACATGTAAGCTTGAAAGAGTAGTGTTATACGGCCAGTCAACTTTTTCCAGCGCAAGCCGCCAATTTAAGATTAAAAAGTTGATATGTTAATTACACCGCATATGATCTAGCTATGCTTTCATTAAAGCGCTTTCTTTTGCCCTGATATCTACAGTCACTATAAATATAGATGAAGTTTAGCAGTTGCCCCTGTAACGCGGCTCTTAGGGAACTCTTAAATCGTTTGGGCTGATATCTGTAGAACCTTTATTTGCATGAAAACAGTTTATTCTTGTATCATCAAATCAAAGACAGTTAAAAGTTTATTTTTCATCGAAAAAATGTTTTGGTTTTAGTCCACTGGGCGTTGACAAAATTTTTTTGTAATTCTTCTTTGTGCTTTTAGTCAGTCCATTACATTTGATAGTATTTCCGCGAATAACATATGTTGCTGCTGAACTAATTTATAATGATATGACTAAAAATTTAAACATCAATAGAATAAGGAAATTTTTATGGTCAAAAACTGTGTTTGTGCTGTTTCAGAGGTGGCTTACGGAGCAGAGACCACAGTGTCCTCATTGCAGGTACATAACTCAATGATTGATTGCTGGCAGTTTTAAATGTCAGCCGATAAATATGGTTTTAGCTTTAAATTTTGTCGAAATTCCTCTTGGAAGCAATACAATTATGTAAGATCGCGAATGTGACTGTAAAAAATCTGTGATCGCAATGGCAAGCTTGATTGGCAAGACATGGTAATAAGCCCTATCTGTCAATAAGTATACTGTTAAAAACAATTTATTACAAGCATATCAATTGAATATTAAAGAGCGGGCCTGGAGTTGCACGAGTTGGTGAACTGCCGATGGGTTGAGGAGGTAACCCAACAGCTGGACAGTCTGAGCACAAGCAAGAGTGCCAGAGGTGCCGTGGGAGGCACAACTAGTTCCAGAGGCAAGTCGTCAGCCGGAGGAGGCAATGACCCCTCTACGTCCAGTGGAGAAGGCCAAGACAAAGATCTCTGTAGCGAACATCCTGAAAAGGTAAACTATGTTAATCTATTCAGAGCCAATTTTGAAATTGAAAGTGAAGGTATCGAGTTCTTTTTATCATCGAGGGAGGGACTTCAAAGGTAGAACCCATTTGCCTATTTTAATGGAAAGAGAGAAAAAACCGGGACCTGAACTGAAAGTTTGATGGATGTGAATGGCAAGCTAATAATGAAATGGCAAGTCATTTCCCCACTGAAACATGACCTAATGGAATATCAAAAGGCGCCTTTATTTGCATCTGAGCTGTTAATTCATATATAAAAATGGTCAATCGAGTGTTCACGCCTAAGTTATCTTTACTGATAAAAGACACTGTAATGCAGCAGTCAGTGATGAAAAATAGGATGCTAATGTGAGGTGGCATACATAAAATTACATGCCAGTACCTAGTTTTCTTGTGGTCGAAAATCATGTCTGTTTGAGCTTAGTCGCATTATCTCAATCATAAACCCAATTTCTCAACTTAGCATAGTGGTAAGGCGTTCACTTTGAAATCGTCAGATCTTGTATTCGATCCCATACCATGGTATGGCAATGATAGTGTGCGAGGACGAGCTCTCACTTGACAACTAGCTTCAGGTCTACCACAGCATGACCAAATTCGGCTGCAAAAATGGTACCACGTGAAAGTTCTAGACGCAAAAAAAAACGGCCTTAACTCGCAAAAAAAAGACCTTCGCTCAACAAAATAACAGTCTAGAATGTGGGGAGATAACACAAATTGGCTTTCTTCGACTGGAATGTTAAGGCCTTCTGCTCCTCTGCGATTCGCAGGAACCACATTATTCTTCAGCTGAATTATTTTTCCTGTTTCATATAATGCTTGTGCTAACATCCATGAGGATTGATGTTTTTTTTTATCTTATGGCACTTCAGGCAATCAACCTGGACAGACATTTAGTATATAAAAATTTGCGACAATAACCTTTTTTTTCTCTTCAAAAGTCTCTTGAAAACGAAAATGCTTATTTTATTAAACCATTAGTCAGTTCCGATTCTAATTTGAAGTTTTTTTTCTCTTATACTTTCTTTCTCAATTTTCAAAAAGAATTGAATTAGAATTTTTTACGCGTTTCTAGTGTTTGGTCTATTAGTGGAAATTGAGCGCTTCTTGAAATCAGTTTTTCAAAAAGGTAGAAAAACTAAGAAAATTATATGGAATTTTGTTCATTTGTAATGTTTTTGTATTGCAAGTTTTGCGAAGCCCCTTTTTGCCTCTGTTATCGATAATTGCACCGTTTTTTCAAGCATTTGTCCTTTGTAGCCACAATCAGTCAGGTGTCTATTCAAAATGGAGTTGAAAATGTCTCATTGTTTTGACACTGGAACAGTTGCTATGTTGAATGAGTCTGAAATAGGGTGATGCTGAAGTTGTTTAGACTTCCGACTGTCTCTCGGTTCGAAGCTTATCGTACTTTTGTTTGATGATTAGACAACATCAGGCCTAGAATTACCGGAGAAATGCAATTCATGCTTCATCAGAGGCACAAAATTGGGTTCTATATATTTTTAAAGAACTGAACAGCTCGTGTGTTGGTTCTTCCCCTCGTGTATGAATAGTGTTATCTAATGTCTCTTTTCGTTTGAAGCTGAGTGTGTTCTGTGCGACATGTCGTGCCTGCATCTGTCACCAGTGTGCTCTCTGGGGTGGCACTCATTCTGGCCACCAGTTCAAACCCTTGGACGAAGTGTACGATCAGCATGTGAAGAGTATAGACGAAGAGATCAATGCACTCAGGAGGCGACTCATCGAACTCATCTCTCTCATTCAGGAAGTGGTCAGTAGGCTTTGTTTCATAACTAGATGAAACTAACTTAAGTCGAACAAAACAAGTAGTTGCTTGATAGTTCCGTCCTAATTCTCATCTCACCATGCGCACAGGCATTTGAGTTCTTTCACAAAACAAAGGTTTCCTCTCTATTCTATATAACGACTCCCATTTTGGGCCGACCAGTTCTGAAGAAAACGCCAGGGTAGTTCCATTTTTTAAATCTGGTCCTAAGAAAGAAAAAGCAATTGTAGGCCTAATTTTTTACTCCCAGTAACAAGCAAAACTTCTGAAAAAAATTTAAACGCTAGGATTTAAAATTTTCTGAACAAATTGATCTATGGCAGTGATAATAATACTATATTTTGGTGTGATTTGGGGAAAAGTTTTGATTGGGTCACCGAAAATAAACAGTTTGCATACAATTTTCAACTAGAGATGAATCGACGGCTTAAAGGTGAACTAATCAAAAAGTCAACAAGTAAGTACCGATGCATTCATTTAGATCAAAAACTGTACTTTAAAACACATGTAGCTGAAGTTTAAAGAAGACTGAATAATTTAACAGAAGACTTATACCAGGTCAAAATGTTTCGTAAACCAGGGAACTTAATAAGCTTGCGAAGTAAAATGTTATAGTACGAACTTTCTTTTTTTCCAACCTAAGTCGCAAATATTGTTGCGACTTCTGTTGCGACTAAGTCGCAAATATTGTTGCGACTTAAAGTAACAATATTTGCTGCATCGAATTGGCATGACAGCTTATTTGTTGCACCTTTACAGCTTATTGATAGCATGTGCTTTGACATTCGAATTGTTATAAATTTACACCGTTTACACATGTCTCGCAATTTTTTGAAATGCATTGTTTATACATAATGCGACTTTATGATTTGCAATTTATTACATGCAAAATTGTATCTTTTTGTATTTGGTGCTACTTTTGCTTCATCGAATTGGCAATTTATTAGCGTATATAGCTGCGTTATTGGTGGCTAGTTTTTGGGGATTTTAAGCATCCGTGGCTGAATGGTGAGTGCGTGAGACTCAAGTTTGCTAGGTCGCAGATTTTTGCTAATTCGATTTTTTGACCTTTTCTTATGTCATATTATGAGCTGCTTTTTGGTCGTGTTCTCGCGAAAGTGTGTGCGAAGCGCAGCTTCGCCTCTGTATGAAACTTTGTAATTCTTGCATTGAACCTTGCGTTCATTGTGGGTCATAATTTAGGGCAAAGCTTCTCAAATGGAATTATAAGACTTGAATGGTCGAAAATAGACTACTTTGAAATATTTTACTTTCAAAGGATAAAAGTCTCTTCAGAAATTTAAAAAATACAAAAACTTTGAAAACGAAAAATATAGGAACAAATCGAAACAAAACAAACTGATCGAATTGGATGACAAAAGACCAAATTCATTTCTATACGAGTCTGGTTAAATTTTCCTGGTATAATGTGGCTTTTTTTTAATCGAACAAGGTCAGTTTTTACTCTTTTCTGATCTTTCGTTAAAATTGAAATTATTTCAAATAACTCTTCATTTTTACAGTTTTTCTCTGGAAATTAAAATGAGATCTAAATATGCGATAGGACTTGTATGTTGATTAATTGCCCAGAAGAGGTGTCACTCGGCCGAGCGAAAGATATTCCTGATTATTTCCCGAATCAGTGCTTTGTCAAATTATACATAAATTGATCCTTGATTTTAACATGGTGATTTGAAAGAAGATCATTTTTTATTATTAATATGGTTCCGCGTCTTTGTCTTTGAATTATATACTTAGTTTCAGTTATAGATTTGCTTTTTTGCAATGTTTAATGCATGGTATTCCTCTTATTAAGCTGATTGGTTATTCTATTGAATGTGTTTTGTAGGAGAAAAACGTGGACGGAGTTACGACTGCGAAAGAGGACAGAGTGCGTGAGATCAGAAACGGAGCTGACATGATGGTATCCAGGCTGGACAGCCAGCTGAAGGCTAAACTGTACACCCTGATGGGCCAGAAGAACTCTCTGATCGAAGAAACGGACACCCTGACTGCACTGCTGGCTGGTGTGGAGAATGACATGCGAGCTTTCAAGAAGAGTGAGCTGATATTCAAGACAAAAGAGATGCTGAATAAGTTCAGTCTGGTGTGGAAGAAGCCGATGGCGTCGTTCGTGACTGCGCCTGTGCCTGCTGATTTCACAAGGTATGCATTTCTAAGGCCGAAGTGTTGGCAATATGCGTGACCTTGAACATCTTAAGCGGACAGATAATAAGGCCTGCTATTTGGGAAGCCTTCACGTGGCGGCAGGTGTGGATCCTTGCAGAAGGATCTCAAATTTCCCATACCAAAGAGTGTTTGGCCAAAACACATGGAAACCAGTGCGGGTTTTTGCTGAAGCACCATAGTGACCCCGATCTATGGTGGCTTCTAATTCTGGCAGGGGATATCGAGCTGAATCCGGGGCCGGTGAAATGGCCTTGTGGATACTGTGGTGAGGCGGTTAGTAGCAGAGTCTGGTCTATCTACTGTGTGGATTGCAAGAATTGGATACATCAGCGCTGCGCAGGGATGTCGACCCAAGAGATCAGGGCACATCAGAATTTCAGGTGGCATTGTGGGTGTGTTACAGTTCCTACTGTCCCTGTTGCTCCAGTTGCAGTTCTGCAGCCAGCCACCCAAACTCGGAGACCAAGATTGACGACTCCAGTGCCCAGATGTTTGAAGATTTTGCAGCTGAACATCGATGGTTGGAGAGGTAAGGTCACTAGTCTCAACGAGTTTCTCGACGAGAAGAAAATTGATGTTGCGTTGTTGCAAGAGACGAAGCTGATGAGTTCTACTGCTGACCCTAGTGCTAATGGGTGGAAAGTCCATAGAGCAGAACGCACGGTGCATCTGGTGCAGAATGAGTAACCCCAAGGAGGTTTGGCGGTGCTCGTCAGACCTGGAGTCCAGTCACGAAGGTTAGAAAGTTTGAATCTTCCGACAGGAGCTGCTTTGGAGTCGTTGGGAGTTTCAGTAGAGACCAAGCATGGCTGGATGAATCTCTGGAATATGTACCGTCCTCCTGCTACTGGTGGTGCAGACGTGAGAGATGCTGCGTTGTATTTGAACCATTGGCCTAGAGAGAAGAGTTCTGTTATCTGTGCGGATGTTAATGCGCATGGTTCTTGGGATGCGAACAGAGATTCCGATCAGTTGGGAGAAGAAATTGACGACTGGTTGATTGACAACAGTATGGCGCATGTGAATAGTGGCATTCCTACACGTGTTCGGCAGCTGGGTCACGCGATGGTGGAAACGGCACCCGGCATCACCATTGTGCACAGTTCTGTGGCGAGCAGTTGTTCTTGGGATGTGCTGGAGACCATTGGTTCCGATCATTTGCCAATTCAATTGGTCATTGGCTCTTCAGGGATGAAAGAAGAAGAGACAAAACGCAAGTATAACTTCAACAAAACGGACTGGGAGAAGTACAGCAGTGTGTGTCACAGGAGTTTGTCAGAGTGGAATGAAGATATGTCACTGGAGAAGAATTACAAGGTCCTGATCGAGACGATGCAGAAGGCAGCTAAGGAGTCAACTCCCTTCACTAAGGTTGGTGGCAACAGGAAACCTTGGTGGTCTAGTCTCTGTGAGAGCGCGAAGAGGTCTATGAAGGATGCTTTCAGTCTCTTGAGGAGGAGCCCTTGCGAAGAAAACGTGGAAATGTACAAGAACGCGAAGAAGATGTTTGCTGATACCATCAGAGAAGAAAAACGACGTAGTTGGCGGGAGTTTGTTGACACGTTGTCTCCGGCGACTCCTAGTACCAAGGTCTGGCGCACGCTTCAAAGTATGGATGGCAGGAAGAAACTGGGATTGCCAGACAATCCAGTGTGTGCAGGGGACAAGACCGCTGTCACTGACAAGTCGAAAGCGGAACTTGCAGTGAAAACGTATGCCGCAGCCAGCAAGGTCCAGATCACTAGAGAGGACTCCAAGGAAGCTTACCTAGCGACTAGAGAAAGTCTGAAAGAAACTTCGGAAGGTGAGCTGGGTGACAGTTTCACCGAAGACGAGTTAGCAAGAGCTTTACAGAAGATGAAGATTGGAGCTGCCGGCCCAGATGGAGTTGTTCCCCAGATGATCAAGCACTTGCCAGAGAATTGCATCTTGTTTCTGCTTCGTGTCTTCAATGAGAGCTTACGTCTAGGAAAAGTTCTAGATTGCTGGAAACGTGCAGTCATTGTGCCAATTTTGAAGAATGGTAAACCGCCTTCTCAGATAAAGAGTTATAGGCCCGTTTCTCTGTTGCCGTGTATTGCCAAAGTTCTGGAGTCTATGATGGAATCCCGCGTTCGTCATTGGGCCGAGAGTACTCACATGATTCCAGATTGTCAGTCAGGATTTCGTGCCAAACGATCCACAACAGATGTTCTTGCCAATCTCAGCCAAAAGGCATTCGACAACCTACAGATGAAGAAGCGCACAGTGATCACGGCAGTTGACTTCAAAGGAGCGTTTGATAGGGTGTGGCGTGGTGGTCTTCTTAGAGACTTAGCGAAAGCTGGCCTTCATCCTACTTGCCTGCGGTGGATCAAGTCGTTTCTTAGCGACAGAAGAGCGTGTGTCAGATGGAACAGTTCTCTTTCCAAGTATAAGGTGTTTCAGCAGGGAGTTCCCCAAGGCTCACCTCTGTCCCCTTTGCTTTTTTGTCTTGCCACGGCAAGTTTGCCTACAAGGATTGCTCAGAATGCTCCAGACACGAAAAGTGCCCAATTTGCGGATGATTACTCGCTTTATAATGAGGATGTTTCTCCTGATTCAGCAGCAGCTAGAATGCAACCAGCTCTGGAAAGCGTCAGTTCTTGGGCGAGTGATCATTATATGCTCATTGAACCGTGGAAGACTGAGGGGTTAGTGATCAGCCTGGACCCGAGAGAGACGACAGGCAAAGCACAGCCAGCTCTTCTTCTGGAGAACACACAAGTTCCTTTCAACAAGCATATCAAGATTCTGGGTGTCAACATTGATACACAGTTGACGTTTTCCGAACACACAAACATCATGGTGAAGAAGATGAGGAATAGGACACAACTGCTTTCTAGTTTGTCAGGAAAGAACTGGGGTCTGACATCCACTGACCTTAGAAGATTGTATAATGCCTATGTCAAGCCAGGAGCACTTTACGCCAGTGAAGTTTGGGGTTCTTTTCTCTCGGACTCGAATTGGAATAAACTGGAGGCATGCAACAACAGAGCAGCAAGAATTATTTGTGGCACGCCAGCAAGTTCCAATGCCGTCGCTACTCGCGCTGAGGCAAGGCTTTCTTCGTTGAAGCAGTACAGCGACGAAAAGGCAGCCATTTTGTACAGTAAGTTCCTCCGGTTCCCGATAGATCATCATCTGCATCTTTTGACAGATGACGGCCCGCCTCAGAGACTGAAAGCAAGAGGGGATAGCAGATTTCGTCCGGACTGGAGAGTTACCGCTAGAAAGATGATCCAAGATAAACCAGAAAATCTCAGTACGAAAGAGTTTATTCTGACGAATAGAGAAGAAGTGACACTAGAAGATTACCGGCAAAAAGTGGATGAAGATCACTTACACAGACGAATTTGCAATGGCATGGCTTTGGAGCATTCAACTAACCGTTCAAGAGAAGAGGAAGTTTTGTTGCATAGGCTCCGGTTGAATCGATGTAGTAACCTAGCTAAAACTGAGCATCTCTTTGGTCGTATTGAATCTCCGCAGTGCCGTCAGTGTGACTGAAGAAGATGAAGACACAGAGCATTTCATCCTGAAATGCGATAAATGGAATGAAGAAAGAATGTCAACTTTGGGCTCAAACCCCATTATCTCAGTTTTGCAAACAAATCCGGATAAAGTTTTAATGTTTATTGGCCGAACAGGACGTTTACGTCCCTCATATCATTTATGACGAGCTCCATCAACAACAACAACAACAACATAAGGATTTTCAGGTTTTTTAAGATTTGATTGTAGTGAGTAAAAAATTAATGTAGTTCACATTCAAATGAGTGGCAGGTAAGTTGATATTTGTTGAACGAGAACAATATTGCGAAAAATTTGGAATTCAGATTAATGAAGAAATGCGCAGATTAATGACCCTTGCGATGACTAGTTTTTTTTTTTCGTAAACAACGTCCACAGGATCTTCACTTCTAGAGGATCACTTCTAAAGGATCTTTCAGCTGACATGCTCAATATCTTGAAGATTCAAATAAATTAACTATCACCTAGCTAGTAATTACTTCAAGTCCGTTTCAGTTTGTAATTATTTTTTCAAAAAAACCTCAATTTTTCGGGTTCTTGGTTTTCGTACTAGTTTATGTCGGTTCATTTTCCGTTTTTTAAACGCTGTTTGTTTACCTGGTAGGGTTTTTATTGGATTACTTTTAAAGCATGGGTATTGTTCGAATTTAAACAGTTTTTACTATCAATGAAACTTCACAAATTTGTAAATTTACCATGTCTGACATCGAGTTTTTTTGTTTTTTTTTTTTTCATTTTTTTTTCGTTTTTTTTTTCAAAGATTCAAACAGTTTTAGTTTTTGCTATATCAACTTAGTCAACCTAGTTTGCGTAACTTCAAGGGCAAAATATATCCGTTTGGGATTATGTAATTCAGTTTGGATGGGTGGTAAAAGCTTCAAATTAAATGAAATTTTTTATGACAACAGTTTTGTTTTCGGCTCAACAGGTTTCGATCCAGTTTTTCGCTTTTGTTGCCGCTGGGTAAATCATTTCCATTTTTAAAGGGCTGTTTATGAACTTCATCGGATATAAAAATAAAGTTTTCGTAGCTGTAATTTCTCAACTTTAGTCTAGTTATTTTATCAAGTAATTTTTTCCAACATAATTTTTCAGATTTTTTTTGGAAATTCTGTCTTTTTTTTCACTATTTTTTACTTTGAAGCGCAATGGGTTTTTTGCTTGGCAAGTGTTGCGAAGCTCCGCTTCGCCTCTGAGTTTAATTATTCAATTTGATATTAACACTTGCGAAGCAAAGTGTTTATGTACGAGCTTTCTTTTTTTTCCAATCTCAAATGTAAGTGCTACTTTTGGTGGCACTTTTGAATCGGCAGGCTGCGGTAGAAGTATAATATCATATGTGCTTTGACATTTGATTAGTAAAAAGTTAATTTAGCATATGGCATAAAAGCAATCTTCTTCATCGTTAAATTCATCGCTACGTGAAATTTTAGTTCACCTGTTTTTTGTATATAGAGGTGTTTTGAATGTCTGAAGCAATGATTTGTTACCTCTTATTAATTTTGCCGTAAAATTTAAACCAGTGAAACAAATGAAACCGACATCATCTAATTTTGTTAAACACTGTTTCAAGTGATAATGATTGAAGCGAGTTTTTACTTATTTAGGTCGAGTGCTTTTTTATGGAAAAGTCTAAAAAGTTGTTCATGCTCAAATATAAGTTTTGGCGGGCTGACATCTGATTTCTTTTCAAGTTCAATTCAATTAATTTGCTAAAAAGGAAGGAAATTGTAGAATTCTCCGTGGTATTTAAAAAACCTTTTGAACCAGTTTATTAAATTGATTTTTTGTCAAAGAAATTAATAGTAAAAGACGTTCAAGGTCATATATTTTCAAATGAGCAAGTATATTTTCAAATGAAACATTTAGGAATTAAGGGTGCCTTACTTTTACTGGCTATGTTTAAAGATCCGTAATCCATGAAACATGAAAGCAATCGTTAACTATGGCAATTACTGTTTGTGCAACAATCATCGAGGTCCGTCTGTTTTTTTTTTCTGGGTATATTGGACTGATAGATTCCACATTTCAGTGAACTGGTGCCTAATTACGACAGTGCTACTTTCCGCATCAGCAACTTCAATCAACTCCAGCAGAAGGCGGATCCAGTGTACAGTCCACCTCTGGTAGTGAATGGACTCAGCTGGAGGCTGAAAGTGTACCCTGATGGCAATGGGGTGGTCAGGGGAAGCTATCTTTCTGTTTTCCTGGAACTCACTGCAGGCATACCGGAGACGTCCAAGTGAGTTGTGAAATTATAATTGTCTAAATTTTCAAAGTATTGTTTGTGATCGAGCACTGATCTTAACTGAGGTGGTGGCACAACTGATATATTAAAGTAGAGGTCTTTATTACTGTCAAATAAAAATTTGGGCGCAAAAAATATCCGAGAAATAACTCTTAATTTCAGATGCTTTCTTGTAATATTTTTGATTCCGTAGTTCTAGTGTACCTTAGTGACAAAAATGTGTATTTAGATACGAGTATCGCATAGAGATGGTCCACCACTCGCATCCCGACGACAGTCGCAACGTCGTGAGGGAGTTCGCATCTGATTTTGAAGTAGGAGAGTGCTGGGGCTACAACAGATTCTTCCGACTGGACCTGCTGGCAATCGATGGGTTCCATGACCTCCGCTCAGACTGTCTTACGCTTCAGTTCCAAGTCAGACCACCCAATTTCCACCAAAAGTGCAGAGATCTCCAATGGTACGCTGAAATAGCTGTGATTAAAAGATATTGCCTCGCTCGAATTATTTAATGCTTTTTTCAATAATTCAATTAACCAGCTTTTCTTACAAATCTGCGAAAAAGTGAGTTTTGCGTATAATGGTTCATCAATTAACACTTGTGGTAGTACTCAATAGGCATATGGTGTTGTGGTAAAACACCTGATTGAGGCTCCAATGGTCTTAAGGTTCGAGACTATCGTTTTTTTTTCTATTGCAGCACGCGATTTTGGAAATAACCATTTATACTTATTTTTACTCAAGCGAGCTTACTGTTATGGGGTCAGTCCTCTTTGATCCAATGCTTACTCGTATAATTAGTGCCCATCAAAATTCTACTTCTTATTGGCTGTTTTATTAGAATTTGTTTTATTAAGAGTAATGAACATAGTGAAGACTCTTATATATGTCTTGCTGATTTTTTTTCAGGATATGTCTTAAAATGTTCTAATAGCTACAGATGTGCATTCACACAATCTTGCATTTTTGAATGCACTTAGGTATATATGCACTTTTTGAGTTCAATTGAAATTCATCTGAAAGTTACGTAAATAGCTTTCTCCACATACGAACGTGGAAATGGCGCGAAAAAACGTGAACCATTTACCATTTCTAGTTTCGAAAGTGGAATTTAATTTTTAGATTTCCAACGGAACAGTAGCGTGCCGGGGGAGGAACAGTAGCGTGCCGCGCGCCATAAAAACGTAATTTTTTGGGTCAAAATTTTCCAAAAGTGCCTCAAAACGCCTTTTTTGGCTTCTTTTTTTTTGAAAAATTTGCCTGCGGCGCAAACTTTTTTTTCACAAAATAGGGTCCTCATACTATTTTAGACACAGCTCGGAAAATCAAATTAGTCTAAAAAAGTAAGCAAAATTTTGAATTTTTTTTTTCGATAAACCGCTCTCCCTAGAAAAATTTCTGCGCACGCCACTGCAACGGAATAAAAACTTTACCTATTGATCCAGTTTTTTCAAGTTGGGTTAATGTTATCAAAAAAGCGAATACCAGTAAGTAGGTACTGATGTTTTTTTTGTGTTGTCCATGCTCAAGTTTTGTTTTACGCGGTTTGATTTTTGATTTTTTGAGTCGATGAGCGAAAAGTCTTAAAATTTGTTCAGGCTCAAATTTTGTTTTTCGCGGTTTGATTTTTGATTTCTTTTGAAGTTAAGTTCATTTCCTTTGTTAAAATGAATGCAAATCCCACTGTTTATCTGCAAAATGTAAAGGTCATCGACTTTAAAAGTGACTTTTATTTTAAAAAGAAAATTTTAATTATAAAAAAAGTGCCAATCTTAATTTGTTTTTGAAGTTCGAAGCGATTTAAGGCCATATATTTAAAATACTTTCTTCAAATTGTTCAAAGTTTTTTGTTTCATTACAAGTCAGTTTTTTGTTTCATTTGGTTTTTCATTGACACTTTTCTAACTGGTTGTTGGCTATGTTTTAGGTATGTCGGTCAACTTCAGCAGAAGGTGGAAGGTCAGAAGCAGCAATTATCTGATTATAAAGAGCGATTCAGTTCAGACAGGTGCAGATCAATTGATGTTCCTGAAGGTAAGTTCCATTATCACACTAGCGAACTTCTGTGAGCGTTAGTGTTATGCTACGACCATTTTTTTCTAACCTAAGTCGCAAATATTAGTGCAAACTTTGGGGCACTTTAACAGCTTTTTGATAGCATGTGCTTTGACATTAAAATAGTAATAAGTTGACACAGTTGATACATTTTAAATTCATCAAATGAACCCAAATAGCTATTTGGTTGAAACAAAAACAATTATAAAACTCGATTTCCGAAATTTTCTACCTTAATATATCCGCAATTTTTTGAAACGCATAATTTATAATGTGGCTTTTCACTTTCTAATTTATTAGATGCACAATTAGTGTGGACGCCTTCAGTTTGTTATATTCCAAACTATTACTTGCAAAATTGTATCTATTTGTAATTGGTGCCACTTTTACTGCATAGAATTGGCAATTTGTTAGCATATGTAGCTGCTTTATTTATGACAATTGTTGCCGGTTGTGAAGCGATAATTCTCGAGGTCACAGGTTGGAAGCCCATACGTAGAAAAGTTTAACTACTTCGAGGCTTATTACTATCTTTTCTTAATTCAATTAATAAAGCTGCTTTTTTGTCGGGTTCTCGCTAGTGTTTGCGAAGCGCAGTTTCTCATCTGTGTCAAAAATTGCTATTTTTTCTAGTTTTCTCTAAGCAGTTTTGCAGAAGTGGAGATGTTAATTAAATTTAGGTTCAGAAACTGCCAACTCTAGCATGTCAATGGTAGCATCTGGCGATAATCCAGCTGCCGTCGCAGCTCAATCCTCAGCTGCGGCTAACAATGTCTCTCAAAATAACGAGGCCGAAACTACAACGGAAGATTCAGAAGAAATCATAAATTTAACTCCAGGGACTCCTGCCATAGCAGAAAATGAGGAGAATGATGTTGACGAGGAAACGATGTCTGCAGACAATGACATTGACCTTGAAACCGCTATTGGAGCAGTAGGGATAAGTGTGAGTACTGCCGAGTCACCTATTGCAAATATTGTGCCTCCGCCCCCTCCTGTACTGAGTTCGCGTCCATCCAGTGCGGGGTTTCACGCGAGTAGGAGAAACAATCATGAAGAAAGAGTAAGTGTTACTGGCGACGATGAAGCAATATCTTATTCATCGACTAGATCGAACAGGGATCAAACTGAGAGAGGGCAGCCAACGCAACAGAGATCTGGTCGAGGTTAGATATAAGACGATTTTAGGCTTATTAATGCGATCAAAGTTTCAGGCAATCTTTTTAAAATGCAAATTATTTTCAATACCGTGTTGAAAGATGTTAAATTACTTTCGTAGCTAGGAATTTCGTAACATTCTTTGCACTATCACAGACTAAGCTTGCGTTCATATTCGCTCATGGTTTGAACTGAAGTTAAAATTAATTCTGAGTCATTTGGTTTAGGAACTACCAATAATTTTGGTTCAACGGATACATCGCTTCCTTCTACGTCAGCATTTAATAATGACAACAGCAGAGCAAGCACCGAAATAGTTAATTACGACGAAATGGCGCACGCAGATCTGCTAAGATATGTTGAGAGTCTTAAGTTGAAAGACTCAGCGGCAGCAGCTGTTGCGAGAGAAGCACATGCTTTACTGGCGTCATCCAGAGCTAATAGCTCTTCAACTTCGGTGCAAAATGACATTCCAGTCAGCAATTCGAGACATTCCTCAGCTGATGGTCAGAAACCTGCTTCACAGTTTCAAAGTCAGCAACTGATGTTTGGCGATTCGCCTCTAGCCGCCAACGGAGCGGCGGCAAGAAGTGACGCAGATAATCAACTGACTGCGGAGGCCTTTTGCAGATATATGGACCAGTTGAGTCGCAATAGTGGAAACTATCAAGGTAAGATAAATTATGTAAGGGTCTTTTTGAACAATTTTAGTGTTAAGCAACCGATAGTGTAAATCCGATTATTTCAAGATACTGGCAATGAACATAGGTACGCGATATAAGGTAGATATGTATCCAGTCTCCGAAAAATGACTTCGGTGGCATGTACATATTGTTGCAAAAGTTATGCTATTAGGTTCGAATAGTTTGCAACATCCAGGAACCAACAGTGCGCCTTCTTCTTCCTCGACGCACTCACAACAGGAAATGCTACTTAGTCTGAACTCCTCCCTACAGCAGGTCCACAACTCACTCATAGACCTCGCAAATAGCATGACTTCAACATCGCCCTCCAACAATCTGCAAAACAACACTGCTAACAGTCCTGCAGCTCCGGCTGTGAACTCGATGACGGAGCAACTGGAACTGGCAATGAGGCAGCAGCAGAATCACAATGGTATCTCTGCTGTCGGCAGCGGGAGTTTTCACCAGCAACAGGGTAGCAGTGGTCAACAGACGGGGACGGGTGCAATAAGGCGATCGCAAGTGTCCACTTCATGTGCTCCTGATTTCAACAAAGGTCAGTCTTCTCAATTGATTTAAGAATCATTCGAGGGTGAAAGAACAGCATTCATAACAGTGGTAACGAGCACTTTCAGTGTTTTCAAATGCGCTAATTTTCAATATAAATTGTAACGTAAAACTTATCAATTGTTAATGAGCGAAGTGATTTATCACTTATTTAGATCGTGTGATTTTTATTTGATTGATGGAGTAAGACCTGAGAACAGACAAAATTATACTTTTAACAAGCCGTGCTCATTAGGTGCCACTTTTACCGTTGACAATTTCAAAGCATCTGTAGTTACTTTTTTTAGCCATTGTCTCAGTAATTCTTTGTTTGTTTGATTCACTGCAGTTTGATTCCGCACTAGGCGAAAGTTTTATATTTTGATTTTTTCCCTTGTTTTGAACTTTTTTCTAATAAAAACTTTTAGACATACTTTATGGCTTGTTTTGCGAATTGTAGCTTTTTCTGTGTCATTTTTACATTTAATGACTTATAGTACGACTATTCTTTTTTTCTAACCTAAGTCTCAAATATTGGTGCTACTTTTGGTGGCACCATTACGGCTTTTTGATCGCATGTGCTTTGACATTCGAATAGTATTAATTTAACACAGTTGAGGCATTTTTTATTCGTCAAATGAACCGAAAAAAGCTATTTGTTTCAAACAACAACAATAAAAACTCGAATTCAGAAATTTTCTAGATCAGTATAGCTCGCAATTTTTTTTGAAATACCTAATTTATTCATACTGCCACCTTATGCTTTCCAATTTACTACATGCAAAGTTAGTGTTGATGGCTTCAGTTTGGTATATTCCAAGTTACATGCAAAATTGTGTCTATTTGTGTTTGGTGCCCTTTTTGCTGCATCGCATTGGCAATTTATGTGGCTGCTTTATTTGCGACTAGGTTTGCTGGTTGTTAAGCGTTCGTGGCAGGGCGTGAGACTCCAATTTTCAAGGCCGCAGGTTCGAATCCGTTACGTAGTAACGTTTTACTAATTCGAGGCCTTTTTCTATTTTTTTTCTTATTTAACTTTATAAAGCTGCTTTTTTGTCGTGTTCTCGCTAACTGTTTGCGAAGCGCAGCTTAGCCTCTGCCTATTAATTTATGATGGATTGCAAGATGCCAATTTGAGATAATTGAAGCGCGGTATATCAATACGTTACTAGACGAAAAGAATATCAACTTGTGGGGAAAAATTCAAAAAAAAATCTGAAAAATTTTCAAATAATTTCCCTCGAAATTGTTCACTCTCAAATTTATTTTTGATTGAAATTTGACTTTAAAGTGCAATTTAAATATGTTTGCTTATTGCAAGCAGATTATACTGAGCAAAAACGAAACTGCTAATAGTGGCAATTGAATTATTTAATTTTCAAAACTGGACTTTATTTTTCAGAATCTCCGACGGAACAATAATTAATACATCGTTTTTTTTAAATTGGTTTTCTTTAATCAAGATATTTTTTCAATGCTAAAAGATCTTGAAATTAAACAGCTTCAAGGTTAAAATGCTTTTCACCATTAACCGAGGACATTTCTTGGTTCATTTTCGTAAGTCGGTCATTTTGTTGGGCTCCTTGAGTTTATTGACACTTTTCCAACTGTCTGTTGGCTATGATTTTGCTTTTCAACATTTTTAAAGAGCACCGCTCGGTCAAAACTTGAATTGAAATGTGAAAGCACTAAGACTCTGTTTCCATTAGCTTCATCTGCTGTATTTTTGCTTGCGTAGGCAAGGTGCAACTTCGCCTCTGTGCTTGAAACATTTCCAGCGGTCATGTTGTTTATTCGCGATTTTTATAAATTTTATAGAGAGTTTGATGTATAGGGTCATTAATTTTTTAACAATTGTCTTTTGGCTCTGTTTTAGCTGTGAAATGCTGCAAATTTAAACGTTCGTTGAATTTTTCCGATGAACGTGGCAAAAGTCATTTATTCGGTAAATCTGATGTCTATTCCTGTTAATCTGATCTACCTAATCAATTTCCCATATGTTCGTTCAAGTGGAACAAATGCGTACTTTCTTAGATCGATCACTACGAGGTGCAACCAAAAGAGATCCGACGAGTTTTGTGGACTTCGAGCATCTCCAGAGCTGCCGAAGTAGAGGGGCACAATCTGCTCAGAGAAGTTAGTTTTTAAGAGTAATGAACGTAGTGAAGACTCTTATATACGTTTTGGTGTTTTTTTTTCTTCAGGAAATAGTCTTAAAATTTTCTAATAGCTACAGATGTGCATTCACACAATCATGCATTTTTGAATGCACTGTATACAGAGCTGATTTAAATTATCGGAACAAAACGAACAACACTTGAATTTTCAAACACGTTTTTCTCAAATTGGGTCAAGATTAGACAAAAAATGAAGAGAACAAAAGTTGCTTAGAATTTCATCAGAATTAATATGGTACAACTTTTTCTCCAAAATTCTCAGTCAAAATTTTACCCCAAAAATGGGTCATTTTGGCTTTTTCAAATTAATCATGAATTACGCTGAAACTACTTTGTTAATTGATGAAAAATATCACAAGAAGCCTCTTACACAGCCCAAGAAAGTACTAAAATGGTTAAATCTCCAAATATTTGACTAAATTGTTTAAAATTTGTTTTTATATAGATTTTGGATTTTATATAGTAAATATCACCTTTCTTGACTATCAAGCAAAGATATTTTCTCTTATACGGGTTTCTGGAGGTTTAACCCTTCTAGAATTTTGTAGGGTTTTGTTGGGCTTCTTGTGATATATAATTCTCATCAATTAACAAAGTAGTTTTAGCGTAATTCTTGATTAATTGAAAAAGGCCAAAATGACCTATTTTTGGGTTAAAATTTTGGTTGAGAATTTCGGAGAAAAACTTGCGCCACATTTTAATTGTGATGAAATTCTAAGCAATTTTTGTTCTCTTCTATTTTGTCTAATCTTAACGCAATTTGCGAAAAATGGGCTGCAAAGTTCAAATTTTGTCCGGATAATTTAAATCAGCACTGTATATGCACTTTTTGAGTTCAATTGAAATTCATCTGCTGAGAGTGAAGTAAATAACACTCTCCAAATACAAACGTGGAAATGGCGCAAAAACGTGTACGGTTTCTAGTTTCGAAGGTGGAATTTAATTTTTAGATTTCCGGTGGAATAAAAATTTTTACCTGTAGATCCAGTTTTCTCAAGTTGTCGCTTTCTGACACGTACTTGGGACTATTGTTTTTTTGCTGGTGAGCCTTATTTATATGAAGGTTAAAGGTAAAGGTTAACCATCATTTAACAATTGGCCAATTAGGTCGATGGCGAGAAAAAAGTCATCCAGTAGGACGAACTTCATTGCCTCAAAACAGCGATGCCAATTGGCGAGACGAATTGACAGTGAGTCCTAACTCCTCCGCGGATCTGAACATCTCAATGCAGGCAATGACCAGCCAAAAGCCAATTCCTGCAGGCAGCGCCAGTAACTTCTCATCTAATAACGCCTTTAAGTTATCACAGATGTTACAGCGTGCCTCTATGGGTCGAGGACCTCGCTACTCTTTAAACGCGTCTGGAAGTAGTTCTCAGGGTGAAGGGTCAATGAGGTCTCAGTTTGAGGCAAATATCCGATCGGCACGAAGTCATAGAATGCCCTCGGCAAGCGATGATCAGTGTAGCGGAAGCGCAGATGACAACAACGACGACGAATCTGTGAGTAGCATGAGCGATAATGAGAATACTGAAATGACTGAGGCGGTTGCGGTCAACATTCGATCGAGACGCAATCAGTTGGATGTGGATGTAATCTCAGGGCGTGGTCAAGGACAAAGTCAGGAACGAATTCGATTGCCAGATTTGATGAGCAGCCATGAAAGTAATGATTTTGGAACTGCTCGTACTTTACAAGCTACGAGTGTAGATCACGAAACAAGTTAGTTGGAGTATTACTTTTAGTTGGACGAGAAATGCATTAGAGAACACTGCACTTTTCAACAAACAAAACATCAGAAAAACTGGAGAAAAGAACACATACAAATCACGGATTGACAGTTATACCGCAAATTTTAACAGTTACAGAGTGTTCTAATGCCGTATAATTGTCAATCCGTGATTTGTATGTGTTCTTTTCTCCAGTTTTTGTGATAGTTTGTTTAATTTCTGGTGAAAAGTGCAATTTTTTACCGTGTAGTGATACTGAGTGACGAAGAGGATGATGACGATGACGACGGTCATCCACAAGTGAGTCATCTCAATATAGAGAATGGAGAGGGAGTGGCGCGTTCGTCTCTCATGGGGGGATACGACGTGGACGAGGGAGATGAAGACGATGACGACGACTACAGCACAGAAGACGAAGAAGAGATTCAAGGCCAACAAGAAGTAAGAGCTCAGGTAAATTGCCTAAGTTCAAGGAAATCATTGCAAACAAGGTTATTTTTATGTTCACCTAGTCTTTCGACGCTTCGAATAGATATGAATATATTTTTTATCTTGAAAAAGTTAGCGAAATTTGAACTGATTGAATACTAAGTTGGAACGGAAAAATGAGCAGGATAATTTTTTGAAACTAGAGAAAGCGTATATGAGAAATAGCTTCATCTAGTGTTGCTAGAAACAAAATCAACCACAAATACTATTATTCAATTCAGTAAAAAAAATTTTGAACTTCAACATAATAAACACCTAATATATACGAATGTATACATATGTATTTACACCAGTGATCAGCTCGGTGTATTATTACGAACCTTCTTTTTTAATTAACCTAACTCGCCTAACTTTTTAAATTAGCCTATCTTATTAACCTAAAAGTGTTCATTAAAAATTTTCACTTATTTGGAAATTCCACTATAGCATTGGAAAATACATAGCATATGTTGTGCTTTGTTTGTGGCACCAATTAATTTGTGTTTAGTACCTATTTGTGTTTGGTATCTACTTTATTTGTGTTTGGTACCTATTAAGCGTCCGTAGCTAAGTGATTAGTATATGAGACTCCGTAGATCGAATCCGAGACGTTTGTAATACTTCGAGGCTTATTTCTAATTTTTTTTATTGTACTTTATAGAGCTGTTTTTTTTTGTCGTGATCTAGCTAGTGTTTTTGAAGCGAAGTATCGACTCTGTGTAGACTATCTACAGTGCTGATTTGAATCATCCGGACAAAATGTATTAAGCTAGATTTTTAAAACGCGTTTTTCTCAAATTGGGTTGTTTTTGGACAATAAATGATTAAGACAAAATTTGCTTAGAATCAATAAGCAGAATTAGTTTGGTGCAATTTTTTTGAGAAATTCGTGCCCAAAATCTTTCATCAGAAAAGGATCTTTTTTGCTTTTTTTAAAATCAAAAATTACGCCAAAACCACTTTGTCGATCACTGACTTAACTATATCAACGTGAGCCTTTTATGTAGCCCAGCAATTTTTATGAAAGACATACTCTCCAAAAACTTTGTATAAATGAATTTACTTTTCTTTGATAGACAAAAAAGGTGGTCTTTATTATATAAAACACCAACATTTTAAAAAGAATTTTTAAACAATTTGCGCAGTTTTTTTTGGAGAGTATGACCTTCTTTAAGTATGTTGGGCTACCTAAGAGGCTGACTTTGATATAATTAAGTCAGTAATCGACCAACTAGTTTTAACGTTATTTTTGATTGAGTAAAAAAAGCCAAAAATGATTCATATTTGGGATAAAGTTTTGAGCTCGAATTTCGCAGAGTAAATTGCACCAAATTAATTCTGCTTAAATTCTAAGCAACTCTTATCTCCATCATTTTTTTCTAAAGTCAACCCAATTTGAGAAAAACGCGTTTCAAACATCTAGTTTAATGCGTTTTGTCTGTATAATTTAAATCAGCACTATTCTGTAACGATGGAGTTAAACTTTTTCCTAAAATGATTTTCCATCAACACCATGTACTCTCATCATTTTTATAACACGAGCTTTCAGATACGCGATTTTTCACAAAACTACTTGTTCCCGTATTACACCTTGAAGCACAGCGACAATAGCATTAGGAGGGTAGAAGATTTCGAATGCCTTGGGAAATTGTAAATCATAGTTGCATTCTTGATCTTCTGTCTGAACTTAAATGTATTTGAATCGAATTTCAGTCATTGCAATCAAGTGGAGGTTGTCTCAGCTAATGTTCCACAGCTAATGTTTCACAAATGAAATCCAATCTCCCACATTTTTTCATGAGTTAGGACCTGCAACTCAAGAGGGATAACTTTTTGTTGAGTCGAAGAACGTAGATTAGACACTTATAGAAGTCATGATGTCTTTTTTTTCGCTTTTTTTCATTATAAGTCTTAAAATGCTGAAATAACAAAGAAGTGCATTCATACTTATTATTTCATATATAATTTCCCTTAGGTATAAATGCACTGATGCATGCAGTTCTCTTCCGTTGTTAAAAGGAACACAATTTTCACTATAGAACAGCAAAAGTGTAAATGTCACGAACAGTCGATGTCACATACCTCAGCAAAATAAAAATTTTGGAAAATTTTTTATCAAAAAAATTATGAATCATAAATTGACTAGAAATCCAAAGAGCTTTAAGGCTATCTGTTTTTGTAAGAAATTTGAAAGTTTTCTATACAAGTCAGTATTTTTTTCTGTTTACTCGCGTTTATTACTAACAGTAATAATAATAATTATTATTATTTTTATTAATATTATAATCATAATAATAATAATTTTTTTATTAATAATAATAATAATATTAATAATTATAATAATAATAATAATAATCATAATTATAATAATAATCCTAATCATAATCATAATCATAATAGTCATAATAATAATCATAATAATCAATTTAATCATATTAATCATAATCATAATAAAAATGGTAATAATATTTATAATAATAATCATACTAGTAATAATAATCATAATAAAAGTCATAAGTAATAGTAATAAAAATATTAATCAGAATAGTAATCATAATCATAATAATAATAATCGTAGTAATCATAATAATCATAATCATAATAATCGTAATAATCATAATAGTAATAATCATAATAATAAAAATCATATGCATAATAATAATCATAATAATAAAAATAATATAAATAATAATAATCATGATAATAATCATTTTCATAAAAATAATAATAATAATCATAATAAACATAATCATAATAAAAATGGTAATAATATTCATAATAATAATCATACTAGTGATAATAATCATAATAAAAATTATAAGTAATAGTAATAATAATAATTATAAAAATAATCATAATAATAACAATAATAATAATAAAAATATTAATCAGAATAGTAATCATAATCATAATCATAATAATAATAATAATAATCGTAATAATCATAATAATATTAATCATAATAATAATAATCGTAATAATCATAATCGTAATAATCATAATAATAAAAATCATAATCATAATAATAATCATAATAATAATAATAATCATAATAATAATCATAATAATAAGCATAATAATCATATTAATCATAATAATAATAATCATAAAAATAATAATCATAATAGTAATAATCAGAATCATAATCATAATAAAAATAATATTAATAATAATATTAATAATAATAATCATAATCATAATAATCATAATAATAATAATCATAATAATAATCATAATCATAATAGTAATCATAATCATAATCATAATAATATTAATCATAATCATAATAATAATAATCATAATAAAATTAATCATTTTAATAATAATCATAATAAAATTAATCATTTTAATAATAATCATAATAATAATAATAATAATAATAAAATCATAATAATCATAATGATGATAAATTGTTTTCATATCAGAGATTATTCAACTGATATTTGTCACTTTACACAATTATGATGTGCAAGGACATCAAAAGGCCCGAAATGCATAGTCAGGTGATGCCTCAATTAAGCAGTACAATTTCTAAGAAGTGCTGAGAAGTTTCTCTGGTAAACTACTATCAGTTGTCCATAACCTACAACCCCCCTCTTGTAGAAAAAAAAGATCTATCATTTCTTTATTGTTTGTGATGTATAAATCGCAAAATTATGGAAAAAATTGTTTAATTGACAATCATTAAAATTGCTGACTGCATCAGCAAAATCTTCAAAATTTCTTTCTTTCAAATTGGCTGGTACTGCTAATGCGTCATAATTGGCGTACCTCACTTAAGAAATTTTGTAGACTCAAAGTTTAACTCATTCAGTCTTTCCCTGTTTTTCCTGTTGGTAGTAGGTTCTAATTCGAGATGTAGCCGAATTTTTACTAATCCGATGCTTATTTCTACTTTTCCTTATTGCACTTTATAGAGCTGCTTTTTGTCGTAGTCTCGATAGTGTTAGCGAAGTTTCGCCTTTGTGTAATAAATTGTTTGCAGGCTATTTTGCGGGTAATGATTATTATAAAACCGCATTTACAACCATTAAACGTTGGCCTGAGAGATAGTCATGAGACCTTCTGGTCCGTTTTCAGACTTCCTTGAGCGGAACAATTAAATTGCTTTCTCAAAAAATTCATTGACTCGTTTCCAACTGTCTGTTGGCGATGTTTTCTTTATTTTCTGTATTGCTTCCATCGTATCGTCAAACTTACGTTTTGTCTCGAATTTGCTTTCGGTGTTTTATGGTCAGATAGTCTCCTTGATCAGGACTTTTTTGTTTGTTTCATCGAAAACAAGAACCTTTTGAACCATGACGGTAGAAGCAAGCAAAAATTTTAACTAACTGAAATTTTCGATTGAAAAACAACAATACCTTTGAAAAACATTGTGCTCTATATATGTAAAGTTCTGATTTTAGGGTCAATACTATCTACATTCTATAACTGATATTGTATGCTAGCAATTTTATTAGCCGAACTTGATAAACTTATTAAAATTGCTATGACTCTCTCTTGTTTTTATTTTATGCTGCTCGTGTCTGCAATAGACCCATCAGATCCGTGTCTCACATAGCAAAGACTTAATGATTTCCCCTGTCAGGCTGATATTATGAAGTTTTTAAATTCAGAACCAACCGCGTGAAATCGGAAGCTCATGGGGTATCTGAATTGACTTTAAAAATAATTAGGTCTCTCGCCAACCATAAATCAATAAAGAATTCAAGTTTGATTTATGAGTGCATGCAAAGGATTTTTCAGAGATAACCAAAAAAATTAGCCAGTTAATTTTTTTCATGACTTCTTTTTTCAGCGCTATTCTTATTAAATTCTTTTGAATTGAGGAGAAAAGCGATAACTTTTTTTCAGCAATACTCTGGACCATCGAGATTTCCTGTGAAATCAGCCAGCAACAATATAATGCACAGGCAACAACAGCCGAACAGGGCAGGTCAAAGCAGCCACAGTAGCGGAGACCAGACAGCTGACCACACGTCATCCCAGGCACAAAACGATAATGACGCAGTAGAGGCGACGACCAATGTTGATGCTGATGTCGAATCATCAGTCGAACAAGGGCCTAATTAAACTTAAACTCGTTCATTGAAACAAACCATCCATAGCATGTAAATTTTTGAGTGTTGTAGATCAAGGTCAAATTGTCTCTAGCTTAAAATGACCTACAAGCTTTGAATTTCCGGTCAAGAGACTAAGCGAGGAGGTTGCATTCTCGGAAGCATGTTTTTGTCATTTTTTCAATTGGAGCTTGATAACATTGTATCTAAATAGGTCAATATTGAGATGTATTTACGCTGAGTTATGCATTGGCAGGTTCCATTGGTATTGAGTCATGATAATGTAAATGGTTACAGATTGTAAAGTTGTCTCTCTTAGCTATACTGGTGACGCGCTAAGTATTTGGTAAAAAAAGAGAGCGCTAACTCCCTGAAGTATCGATTTCTAATGCAAGAAAAAGCACAATTCCAATATTAATCTTGATAGTCTGAGTAAATATTGTTGACAGCTGCCTTTAATTCAATTTAAGCTGTAAAATATTTCATTGTACATTGTAGAGACCTTTTAACGCTAACGCGTGCGATGGTAAATTTAATTCAATTTTTTCATGTTTTTCTAATGAGTATGACACTGTAGTTAATTGAATTATATAATGGAGCCTATAAAGTTTAAATTTTGAAAAATAGAGGAGGTAATTACACTTGCGTCAACTAATGTCTTGTAATCGGGCACAAGGCTATTTTGACGTAAACAGCTTTTCTGACATATATTTTAAGAAATTAGGAAATACGTGCAATTATTTTCACATGAAGTCATGATCAATTCCTTCCTTGAGAGTTCAAATATAACTAACAAGCCCTTATTCGGTAGTAATTGTTCCGACTTTCGAAAAAAAAACGGAATATTTATGCTCGGTGCGGTTTTTTTATTCAGTCAATTCTCGCCAATCGAAATAATAGTTTTCGAAAAAAAATTATACCGCATTGAAGGTATCGACTTCCGGAATTCAAATGTATAAAAAAAATTTACCTCCGGTGATTTTTTGTTAAGTTCTGGGGGTTTGAAAATTGCAAATTGGCCATGTTCTGGACTAAATTATGCGCACTTTGAAAAATATATTTATGTTGCTGAGAGCGTAACGCGAATGCTTGGCGATTTATCACGCTCAACAAAATCGTTCCAAATTGATTGAGGCTAGCTAATCAGATCGGTCATATTAAAAATTTCGTACGGATCACAATTTCACACAGATGTTTTCCAAAATTTATAGGTTTTCCTTATTTTCTTTTCCCAAAAACTATTCGATACGGCTTAAGGGACAGTCGGAACATTCAGGGCTTTGCCCTAATATACGAGCAGTCTTGTTGATTTTTGCAAATAGTCTTAGAGACAAATGTCATGTCTTTTTCTGATTCGTATTTTTCGTCCTAATTTTTGACTCAATTTCGTTTTTTTTTCAAAAGCATATATGTTAAATTGTAGGGTTTTTATCGGCTTCCTTTCCAAAGCATGGGTTTTATTCAGATTTAAACAATTTGAGTATAATTAAAAGTTGTTCTGTAATTTGCAAATTTATCGACTCTGAATTTGAATATATATGTTTTGGTTCTTGTTGTTTTTTCTTTTAATCAAATTGTTTCTGCTTATAAATTCTGCTCATTTGCAGCAGTGCTTACACCCATACTTGAAACGAAAAAGCATGGTAGTTTGATTCCAGTCGGGGCTTTTTTGCAAACGGAAAGTTTTCGGTTATTTTAGACTCGTCTGTCTGCTTATTTTTTTTCGCCTTAGTTTCCGCAATAATAACTATTTTGAAGGTTAGTTTTCTTTTAGGTAATCATAATGCTTTCAAACGTAGTCATTCACTTTGTATCGCAAGTGGTGCGAATTTTAGCTTCGCCACTATCGTATAATTTGATTGCAGCGGTAGGTTTGAGAAAATATGCCGGTTCTATTGCTTCAATTCAAAAGAAATGGCAGCGGGAATTTGACTTCAAAATAATACTAAAAAAAAGCACAAGATTACTAAATTGAAGTGCTGTAGCAAAATCATCAGATTAAGTAACAGAAAGTCAAGAACTGTTTTTCTGACTGCTGCTCAACTAACTCACCGACTTTCGCGAAAAATTTTATCAAGGTGCTGGGAAATTAGGCTAGAAATCACGATTGCGGATGTTTATTAGTAGCATTTCACTTCTGCTCTTCTATTTTAAGCTGTATTTACGCTAAAAATTGGCCAAACGGTAAAATTACAGTTCGCAACGCTACGACAGGAGTTGACTGACATGTTTTTGATGCACAATGAAAGAGCACATCTTAAAATATACAACGAAAAACTGCGTTAAATTTTTCAGACCAAGTGGAAATGGACTTCGCATTCGTGTGTCAATCTGCAGGTTTCACGCGGAATCAGGTACAGCAAAGAAAAACCAGGTAAACTGAGGGTTGTATTGAAACTTTTTCCATAACGAAGCTTTGCTTCAGAAATTCATTTTAAAAATCAGCGTTATCTCACGCATGAAAAAATCAAAATTTGAACGTAATGAACTAATGCAAAAAAGAAACCGAAAAAAATGAAAAAAAAACTTTGTTTTTTCGTCACCAAAAATAACTGGCTGAAAAATTTAAATACCTGAGCAGATCCCACTTATACTAATTTAGTCTTGTAGTTTCTTGTCACTTTAAAAACATAACCCTTAATCACCGGTGAGTTTGGCCGAAATTGAGCTTTGGTAAGTTTGCAGTTCCGTGAATAATCATCAATATGGTACCAGATCTGATTGGCAATAAAGCACCATAGAAGTATTAGAATTTTGCTACGGCGTAGATAGTTTGATCGCCTCGTTTTAATTTATTGAAACAAAGTTGTACCAAAAAAAAAGAAAAAAATAAAAGCCAAAAGGCATTGATAAGCTAAGGCATGTTAGTTTTCTGCCCGCGCAGCAAATTTTCGAATATTTTAAAGTTTTTACTTTCATTTTTGTGTGAAACGTTTTCAGTTTCATGGTCCGGCTGAAGTTGCTGGCTGTTTCCGGATTTTAAAAATCTTTTCACTGATTTTAACTGAATTCATCAATTAGATTCTTCTGCGGTGATTCTAGATTTTGTGTTTGGCTCAAAATTTTCCGAAATAATTTGAACTTGATCTAAGAATTGAATTGCTTTGGTTTATTGTTTTGTTGTTCCTCTCCAATAAGTTTTTGTATCTCATGTTTTCATCAATTTTTGTATTCTGGCGATAAGCAATGCAATTACACCTGGGTACTAGATTTTTTTCCCGTAAAAGACTTTTGTTGACAAAATGGTCAGTTTTATGGTAGTGGTAAATGACAAAGATGGTAAATGAACTGTTTTGCTTCTGTATAATCAAACTATTATAAACAGAGATTTGCAGAATCTTTTCCGGATATTCACCTGGATTCTTTTTCTAAGACCAACAATCTCATCTCTAAATATTTTTTTTGCGTTGATCAATCTGATAGTTTCTTGGTAATGTTTACCAAAATATATGGATTTCTAGAATAGAGTTTATCGAAAAGATGAAGAAAGAAACGAGATTATCTGTTTTGGGTAGCAGTATGCATGCATATAGCACATTATGATGGGCGTTGTCAAATGGCGGACCAATAGGTGAAAAAACTTAATATACACCAAGTATTACGTGACAACCAAGACTCCTCGTGTGTTATACGACAACTGAAAATCACCTTGTATCACATGACAACCAACAGTCGGCTTGTTAAAACTGATTTGGATTGTTCCGCGTATAACCATGGTAATTGCCTAACATAATATAAAATAATTGAAAGTAAAAAACCTAACCCTCTGAAAACCATTCTACGTTTTTTCCTTCCTCCACCTACATTTTAGCTGGCTCAAATAAAATCATCGAAGTGTCTGATTTTTGCTACGGTGTAGTTGGTTTGATCGCCTCATTATATTTTATTGAAACCAAATTGTACCCAAAATGAAAAAAATATATATATACATTAAAAGCCAAAAATGCATTGAAAACTCTCTAATGGTAAACGCGCTAGCTAATGCTGCGTACATGGTAGTTGTACATTATATAATCTGGAGTTTTGGAAGTTTTTTTAATTTCATTTTTGTGTGAAATGTTTTTGGTTTCATGGTTCCGGCTGAAGTTGCTGGCTGTTTCCGGATTTTTTGATCTCTTCACTGATTTTATTTGAATTCATCAGATAGATTCTTCTTCGGTGATTCTAGATTTTGTTCGTTTAGTTGAAACGTTAAAATAGTTTAGTTGAGAGTTGAAACTCACAAAAAAGTCAGGAGTTGCACTTTCATAGACAGCAAATATAGGTTGGATCTTAAAACCATGTAAAACATTTGGAAAAAATTTATTAATGTGAGTCTACCAGAACTGAGCTTACGTCCCATGTAGATGTTACCTTTCGGAAAATCAAACTATAAGAGCTTCGTAATTCGTTTCTGTAATTTTTTTGAATGTTTAAAACATCAACTTTTAAGAATCACGAAGATCTCAATTTTGTAGATATGATTTGTGATCAATTTGATGAAACTTAACACTGCAAAAGTCAATTTTGTAACTAATGCTGGCATAAACATTCTAAACATCTTCAAAGAAAGCTCTAAATTACGACGTTTTGGGAAATAAGCAAACTAAATCCTACATCCTTCCTAGCTAACTCAAACAGAAAGATTGATCAAGCAAAAAAGTTTACCTGTTTTCCAAAATATCAAAAAAACCATCGCAAACCTTTTTTTGTTGTTTTCTGTAACTGGACAGTCTATTCATGAAATAATCCTTTTCAATCATTGATCATGATTGGTTAGTTCTAAGTATTTTACAGAGATAGTTTATCTAGAATATAATTGGATATAATAAATACTTGCTTTGAACTGGTTCCATATAGTGCTACTAATTGACATTTTTCGATCCAAACTGGTACAAACTTGACAAACTAAACCTATGCATTACTATCTTATTATTTAGTCTTAGTTGATATTTGTTTCACATGAAATGTCTTAACCCACGCCAGTTATCAACGAATGAACAATCAACCTCGAAACATAACATCAGCACGAAAGACCTGCAATTGTGTGGCAGAAATTTTTTTACAATACAGGTACGACCGTTGCATTATCGACGTCAAAAATTTATGCACGAATCTTGCAAAACTAAGATCATAAAATTAGTTCGATTGGGAATGCTTGATGAAGAGAACGTTTCGTTCAAATTCAATCATTTGAATTTACCTTCGGGAGTTAAAAAGACTTGATGTCAACTTGCAACTTGAAACTTGTTTATGCTCTTTTGACAGAAAATCTGTGTTTATAGTCAGTACTTTTTGACCAAATAATGAAAAACGAATCTGATTCTGACTTGGATTGTTTTAATGGAACTAAAACGGAAATTAAGGTGGCTCACTGCAATAGACAAATTGTTTTTTAAAGAAAATTGAAACACAATTTAGATAACATGCTATTCAGCATCATTCTAGCAATCAATCTGCTAAAACTTTTATTACTTCATTAAAATAAAAATCGTTACCTCGTTTTGTTTGATTTGAATATCACGTTTTGTTTGATTTCAAAAGCAATCAAACCAGAGTTGTTTCACTAGTTGAA